CGTCACAAGGCCTCTACCTGTATACAAACATAGAAAAATGCATACAAACATCCATGCCCTGAGTGGGATTCGAACCCACGATCCTGGCATCTGAGCAAGCGAAGACAGTGCATGCCTTAGACTGCTCAGCTACCGTGACCAGCCAGCAGCTTTCATAGGGGTTGAAATTTTTTAAACTTGTAGGGTTAAACATATATATACAATTTATCATCTTGGCTGCTGATAATAATAATTTTGTCTATTATTTCTCAATTATTAAGTCAGTGGAGAGTGTGCAATCTGAGTTACTTAACTGTGGTAATAACTTTAGCATCAAGTCTTTCAAATAAAATAAGCAATTTTTTTTTCTCAGATTTTAGTTGCCTATTCCCAGTGATAATGCCAATAAGTCATGCACTTATTAGGTAAAAGTAATAAGCAGTGATTAGCGTGGTTCTAAAAACACCAATATTGAATACAGTAGAATTTACTTAGCTCTTAAATATAAGATAGTATGGATATTTTCTATTCTTACTCAACTTTAAAATCTCTTTGTAGTAATGTGGATCTTATATTTTCATGTGAGATTATGGAAATTTTGGTGACTATTTGCATTATGAAGCTTCAGTACTTACATTTGTAACCCTGATGTTATATCCTTTTACATTATTCTAGCAGTCAAGGGTGGCTTGACAACATATTATTTTTTGTGATAATTTATTGAAATGTAGGTGCTACGTTGTGTGCTATAGGAACTTCAATTTGATTACTAAGAATTAACTTACAAAGCTCCAGCATTGCTGGGCCAGTGATTCAAAACTTGTAATACGTCCAGGAATAAGATTTACTGGACTATGACGCCAAGTAATTTGGTAGAATATTGTGGAATTACATTGCATAATATTGCAGAAGACTGCAAGCATACTTGATTCTCGCCATGACAGCCTCAAATCTTGCACTGTAGTGGGCTTTCAGCAAATGAGATTAATGATTATATTTAGTGTGACTGGACGTACGGTACGTACACTGCATGACTTCACAAGATACGCTTCAAAATGGCAGCAGAATCATCTAATTGAAGGAGGCGCTTAGCATTAACACACTTATTTCCATACTTGCTTGCAATTACCTAGCTGAATGGCACTAACATGGGAACTTCTAATTCAGCATCATCTTATTTCAGTTTTCAGTGACAAATTTCATCATTCTTTCCTTAAATGATATTCTATAATTCTGCCTGGTCACAACATGGTAAATTATGTGGCCCTAGATTTCAACAGTAACAAATTTAGTGTCCTATTTTACAATCTATAATCAGTTACAACCACAGAGTGCTTGAGAATATTAGTTACTTTCAAATTTTCATTTTACTGTGCGGAAAAGCTCAGGATATGTGTTTCTTCCAAATTGGCTTTATATTGGTATTACATCATTTAAAAGTAATCAAAATGGTATGGGTAGGTACTCACTTTTAATGAATTCCATAACACACTGTGAAAAAGCTATACTTTTCTGTTACATGACATATAACTTTTGTTCTTTTCATAATATAATGGACTAATTATTTAAAATTAAAGATTTTGCAATCATTTTTAAAAATTACAATTATATTCACAAGTCCACATCACAGGCTAAATGTGGAGTTTTTTTTTTTACCTATTATTTAGTGATTTAAGCAATCACACAGAATGCCCATACAAGTGACATACACTAGACTAGTGGGAACATACATAGTAATGGGTCATGTAAATAACAGCACCATGCTTATATTCATAGGGCTAAATAAAACAACACAAGTAAGAAATATTAAAACAATTAACAAAATTCAAATCTGTAAAATTTGACATTAAGAAGGATCATAAATATATATTGTGACATGTTGACCCCTACCTCCCCAGCGGTAACGTAACGCTCGCGTAATAGGCGAGTTCCCGCCCCGCCACTCCCCTCCGCGGTGACGTCACCGAGGGATATCGCGGTCGCTAGGCAACGCGAGTCAACAGCGGCGACGTTACGATAGTAACAGCGGTTACCTCCGCTAGCGTTACATAGCAACACAGCGCCAGGCAAAAAGGGTGCCTATTACGCGGCCGTTTTCCGTATGGTCCGATCGAGGTTACATAAGGAGCAGCGAAGGCTATTCACAGTTGTTGTACTGAGTTGTACTGTGACAGCCGCCGAGTCGAGACGTAGAGTCAGCCAGTCAGTTGTATTCTGGCATTTGGAGTGTACTAATTGTGATACTGCAGATAGCAGTAATCGTCAGATTGTAATTTGGGTGATTGTAAGTGCGGATGTGAAATAAAATTCGCTACATCGAATACATCGAGAATTTATTTGTCGCGATATACGCCCGGCACGCGACAATACTATACATTACAGAAAACATGGATGCCGCAATGGGACAGTGGCGCAGGAAAGGATAAAGAGTTATGTTCCAAAACAAACCTATCTTAATGTGAACAACACAAATATAATGACACTGGAATGTTTTAACGTGGAAACTAGCGCAGTGTAGTGGTTTTGACAAGTGAACAGTTGCCTGAGGATGGCCAAATAAGGATTAAACATGTAGTAGTTGACTGTGATTTCAATGTTACTTTCAATTGAGGAGAGATTATAAACAGAGTTGCATTAAAGACAAAAATGAATGTGAAAAGTGACTTAAAAAGAAACTTGCAAGTTATGAGATGACAGCAGTGGACACGTGAAATGCCAAGTAAGTTTTCGTTATGTTCTAAGTGAGTTCTGTAAACAATTTCTGAATAAGAGTTTGAGATTGATAAATTAATTTCACTCCTCCAGTTATCTGCTGACCTTACATTTGTACGAAAAATATAATTTTAATATGAAGAAATAGATTTATAAACATTTAAAAAACTGTATATAAAAGCATCTCTTACTACATATTTGTGTTCATTCATTTACAGACATGATACTACAAAATATTTTCATACTGAAAAAATAACATAATTATAGGCATATAATATATATACATGCATAAAAATAATTACCTCATGGGTACTTCTGTTGACATATGAATAATGATGTTACCCTTCAACAGTTCTATCAAATAGCATGCTTCTCAAACTGCATAAGTTCAAAACAGAAACCTCATCTTACATAAGCTACTTACAGATTTGCTACTGAAGGTATTGCAAAGAGAAGGAGAGCATTATAATCAGTGCAGCATGGCAGCATACGTCATCATAACAACAGCTTTAAGAGAGCATAAACAAATACTAAGAAAAATATTCAGTTCATACAAGAAAATAGAAGCACGGAAAGACCATAGGAAAGTACATCTCCAGACAAGATAGCAGAATGCATATACCTGCATAGACACCACCTCTTGCTGATTTCTGTTGATGTGTCCCTTCCTACTCTCTGTTCTAGAAAATGCAGCAGCCATTTAAACTCATAAGTTTTGTGAATAAAATGGGCTTAAAGCTCATGTCTTTTTAACACTCTCCAACTTAAAACAGGCTTCTAAAAGTATAAAACTCTAAAATTGATATGTACATTATTTATATATTTACTTATTTACAAACAAGTAAACAGATTTATTCTGTAAGATGTTACTAATACAGTGCAGTCTAGTTTACTGCTAGCATTTATTAATTTTATTGTGCAAGAAAAATTGTTGGACATTTAAATTGAATAAATAATTCAATAAAAACAAATATCTATTTTTAAACTATAATAATTTCCAATTTAAAAAAGTTATTTACTGATAAAAAATTACTAAAACAGAGAGTGGGATTATATTCCTCTCACTGGGTGCTTAAAAGTATGATGTCACTTCCATCTTCTACACCATATTTTTTGGTATGCTCTTCAAGACATATTACCTTGTAACAATCTCTTAATTATATTGAGAATCTGTTTATAGAAACACTGGGAAAATTATATTATTGTCATTAATTTAAACATATATGTTACTGTGGAATTTAAGTCGACCAGTAGGAGATACAGTGTTTTATATTTTACTATCAGAATCTCTGCCCTGGGTTTGTAACAGAGATTCATGCAGTTATACAAAATTTGGTTTTGTTTCTGATTATGTTTCATGCAATACAAATGCAAATACAAAATTTACAATGTAATGAACTTCATGATTATGCTATTAGTTATTTCAGGCGAGTTATGCTTCATATCCTCTCCAGCAGTAAATATGAGAGTGTTCTAAAATACTGACAGATCTCTAATTTTCTCTAACTTAGTCTGTCATTTCCCAATATCATGCAATAGATTCTTCAGCAGTGAATACCACAAGGCAAGAAAATTGTTCTTATGCTTGTATTCTACTACAATTACACAGTATTCCATGTTACAAAAACTGTATACTTAGCACGTTGAAGAAATGTCCATCTATGTGAATCATTCACAAGTACTGAGAATACTACTAGTGTTGTAGAAGATAATTAATTGTAGCAGTCTACACTGCTCATTCATATGCAAGGCCCACTACAAGGAGTGAAATATGATTATAAAGTAAAGAGACAGACAAACAGAGGTATCTATATTCAACCAATTACATAATTTTTCTTAAAACAATTTTTTAAAGAGAATAAATTACTGTATACGAAGAAAATTAAATTAAAGAGAATTTATAAACAGGAAAATGATTAGGAAGTCACATCATAGTTTTAAATATTAGCTGAGTCATAAAACACTGAATACATTTAACCTTTAACTTAGGAATTAGTCAAAGTAACACATGATTAAAAAACCATAATTTATGATGTTGGCAGGTGTGAAAGGGCTACTGGTACTGAAGATAAGCATGATGACAATGATAGAACTCGTTACTCATGGCTCTGATAATATTTATAAATGTAAGAAATGTATTAAACATTTTATGACTCCCTCTGAAGTGAAAAGTAAAGGTGATGTAGCAGTCACCTGGGTCAACAAGAGCGATTTCTACTTACGTCCTGGTCGAATGCATCCACAGAGGCAGCAGCTTCTCTCACCAAGTTTCCACAATCAACGCCACCAGAGGGCATGGTACTACTTACATCTTCATCATGATCAAAAGCGTTGAACACATCGTAAGGCAGACACGATAGCAGATCGATTATGAACCATGACTTGAGATAGTTCATACGTATCACTTTAGGGTCCGAGACCACTTCTCCTCCAGGCCCCACAAATGTTGTGTGAAAATTCAACACAATATCAATAAAAAATATGACATCCACTATTGAATCCACCACAAGTAGTGACACATCCTCGGAAGTTTTGTTCTTGAAGGCGACATTGTAGGGCACCATTATTGCCGTGTAGAAGGTAAGGCATAGAATAATCCAATCCCAGATAGCCTTAAATGCACAATAATGTAACAGTATATGGGGCGGAGTTTTGGGTGCTTCCTGGCGGTACTGGGGCATCACATCGGCATTCAGGCTCATCATCTGTAGTTATCCCAGTCACCATCATTGTGTGGAGTATTGAAACACAGAAATCAAAGTCATATTAAAACATTTTACTCACTATATAACTTGATATATTTATCAACATATACAAATATTACTATCAGATTGTTTCTAAGGATATATTGCCAATGATTTCAAAGTAAATGTAAAATCTATTTCTGTAAATATTTGAAAGTAGGAATAAAATCATATTTGTGAATATCATGGTATATCAGATTACAGCACTATAGATTGAAAGGAAGGAATTTCTTATTCTGATATATACATCCATCTTTGTTACTTCCTATGAAACTTAATAAATTTATTACACCAGAGCAAATGTGAAAATGACATATTTTATATTAATGAAATGGATATAATTATCACACAGATGAATCACCAGATGGATTAATTTGTCCTTTATCAAATGGCTGATGGAATGACTGGGTCATTTTATTTTTCTAAGAGGATTGTGAGAAGCTCAGTTACATATTTGCATTATCTCATAAAACACATAAACCAGATTGAATTTTGTAATTTAGAGAAAATATTGCATTTTGTCCCTTTACGCACTAGGGCAGTACTCTTTACACTTTTTATCTGACATGTTGACTTCTCGGGCTATTTGCAACTGTGAATTACATATTGAAGGTCTTATTACTTGAACGATAACAATAAAAATTACATGCTGTATTCTTATCCCTTCAAGAAGAACACCTAATTAGTTATTTATTTGTCTCATATCTCAAAATATTTATATGTTTATTAAAATAAAATATTATATTAAACATAATAATACTTCACTTATTTTCTTTCAATCCCAAATAAACATATGACTCTTCAGAAAACTTTTATTTTTACTGTAAACTAAGTTGCAGAATATGCATTATTAATATCATCTACATAAGAGGAAAACTGCAATTCATAGCTGTTTCTTCCTTTGCTTCAAGATAGAATTGACCTGATTTGAATTAATGACAGCTTAAAATTTTTCTACCATACTAACATGTGCGAGGTGAGATTGCTTTGTGGTGTCCTTGAGGTTGGGTAGGTGTGAAGAGAACTGTGAAACCAGCACAGATCGGCTCCGAGTTACTGAACGTGCCAGTTTGGCAAATTTGCTCAATCCTGAAGAAAGAATTAAGTTGATTATTTCCCTTACATTGTACCTTCAAATCTGGATAAAACACGAAATGTACAATAGAGGGATGGATATAAATGCCTGGGATGAACAAATTTTCTTCACTTTTACAGACAATCATCTTTTTTGAAATACCAATGAAACTACCCTAAAATGAATGTAAATACATGTAGGAAAGAAAAATATTTGAGATCTTTTCAAACAGCCACCAAATTGTGCAGTACCTGTGTTAGTCTATAGGTCTGAGAAGGCATTAGCAGAACCTTGCTCCAATATGAACATTCAACGTACGCAAACCATGAAAGGGTTTACAGTCTCTTTGAATACATAAATTATATTATTTTGAGAATCTGGCATAATGAGATATTTCAATGGCAGTGCTTTATGCATGGCAAAACGGTTGACAAACTTGTGACATGATCTTGAAGCCTATGAGTACAGAGCCATGAGCAGGCCTGCAGTGTACAAATTGTATAGGTGCTCCAAAGGCAGCCAAGAGTCAGGGGTGATTAACACATGAAAAGAAAGGCCAGCAGTAGCAGCTCTGAGGAGGTTATTTCCCATATTCAAGAACATCATTTGAGAGGAATGTAAGATTTACAATTGATAACACTGCTCCTTCATTGCTGATATTCTGTGCAATGACTCATGTGTAGCACCTTGCTCTTTGAAATATTGCAGAGGATCAGTGTGAAAACCAATTCCTCTTTCACGGGAACAGGACGGATAGTGTCAATAGCAACCCAGATATTCTGAATAGTATAATCTCAAGTGATGAAACATGATGCTGGTTTCTCAATCCACAATCCATATTCCAGGCTTCATGTTGGAAGTCAAATCCTTCACCCCAAAAGCAGATGGTTCACATAGACTGCCAAAAGAGAAGATGACATTAAGTGTGATCTTAAATAAAAAAGACATCATAACTAGAATCAATTAATGGAAATTTTATTTTATTTTAGTCCATTATAAATCTTGATAAATTTCTTGATCATTGTTTAATGTGTATTATAAGTATTATAAGTTTACCTCATTTAATTGCAATATTACTGTATTATTGTATAGCTACTATGTATTCTAACTTGACTTGTTCCATATCCTATGGTGTCTCACCTGTATTGGATTTACGGAATGTAAATAAATTCAATTCAATTCAATTCAATTACAGAAAAAAGCAACAACTATACAATATTTTTCACAGCCAGTAAGAAACTGAAGCCTACAGAAACCTTCATGGCTCACAATGTTTTTGTGAATTCATTATATTTTTCTCTAATTATGAGCATTTACAAGTATTAACGTTTAGTAAGATTAGGATTTATGGTATAGGTTTACTAGTCTATTTGGACACAGAAATATCAGATTGTCGTTGTACTTCCAGAACCTATATACTTTGCAGATGTAGGTCCTCTCCAGTCAACAGAAGAAGTGAAAGAAGCTGGAAATGTAACACTTAAGGAAGCTGATGGAAGAGGCCCAGAGGAATGACTCTAGTAGTTGTGCAGCTGTTGGTATAAACGTGTGACAGCCAAACGAAGTTCCCTTTTTGACAGATGATATAGTAAAGAAATTAAGCGCCTGTTTGGTCTGAGAGACAACCGGAGGGGGGGGACTTGTTCTATTGGAACAGAAGGGTAAGACATGTTACAAGTCAACCAGAGAAGCAAGTGTAAGTGAAACTCACCTCCTTTGCTGTCGTCGGACTCGATGGGCTGCTTCAGGGCCGTGATATCCCTGAAGGTGAGCAGGAAGAGCACGACCAGGTCCCGCTCGTTCTTTATGGGAGCTATCTGAAGCAGCAGCCATAGCGGAGTCTCTGCACACAAGCACACAAGCTCTCTGAGAATCACTCATCACTGGCACATATCTGTACATGCTGCACAGGTATGTTCCAGCAATGGAATTATACCATACAGGCAATGGACCGGAACAAATATTAGTTCCACAGTGCAGAGGCATTCCTTATAAAGCTAACAGTCGCTGATCTATTCAAGATATTATATATTTATAGAAACGGGAGATCATTCCACATTCACAGAGTATCAGAGCCAGATATATTCAGTGCATAAATGCTGCCTCTTATTTCCCGAAGATTAATTTAATGCTCTCGTCCTTTTTACATACAGATACTGAAATTTATTTATTTCCTTCAAATTTTTTATGTAGTCCTCATATTTTCCGTTTGCGCTACTTGTCCAGCTAATGTCACCCTCTTTGATGTCTTCATCCTAATAACATTTTATGGAGAGTACGAACCATGAAGCTTCTCAGTGTGCAGCTTTCTGAAGCCCCCCTTATCACTGCAAATACTGTCCTTAGCACTCTCTTCATAAACGTGCCCAATCTATGTTCTTCCATAATGTGAAAAAATACGTTTCACATCCATACAAAACTACAGGTAAAATTGTACTTTACAATATTTTGACATTTACGTTTAGAAGTAGCAAACCATAAACAAAATATTCTGGGCTGCATGGTAGGAAACGTCGAATTCAGCCTTCTAACTTATTCATAGCTGATTTAATTCTGTGGTAAATTCGTAGTTGTCGGCATCTAGACTTGTAATAATGGTCAACCCGCGGCACCCCGGACGTACCCGTGTGGCATGCAAATGCATTACGCTAAGGAAAGCCCGTAAACACTACGTTTTGAAAGAATTTCCCCCGGATATTTTAAAGCTATTCAAATTGAAAACATTTACGCTTGAAATCCAAAATTACTGTCTAATCCAATGGGGCAGATTTTTTTTTACAGGCTGTAAGATCCTTGAAAGTTCTGAAAAGCCCAGGCAGTTCATGGATGTTAGAATCAGACAGGACAAGAACGCTTACTTCAACACATACGCCAACCGTCCTTCCCAGACCATTTTCGAATCTTTTTGATGTTTGATTCAACATAGCTGTTACACACTTCAGTAGTGTCTCGAAATGTGCAAATCGAATGGTTGTATAGTGATGCATACGAGTATAACTGTGAATTCTGGGCAGAAGTTTCTCTTGCAGAGTATGAGAATTCCCTGTACATCATCTAGCAAAACGAGAAAAAAAAACAATTGTCACATATATTGGTGATTATAGACGCAGTTTGGATTGGTGAATATATTTATGGAACACTCACAGATCGCCACTACAAATTATTATAACCGTCTCACTGGTTTACACGCTCTAAAGATCACTGTGACTAAGGCACACAAAATGAAGTCTTTATATCTGCTTTCACTAGTCGTTGCTGGATAACATGACTCAACAATGACTATTCCTTCACAATGTTTTCACTATCCGTTTCCTAGCAACGGATAGTAACACATGAACTATAGTCCATTCGCGGAGACGAGACAGTTAGCGTAAACAAAGCAAGCCCCGAGTCGCCACAGCTGACAGCATGGAGTGGACAAAGCGCGCAGTTACTCAGTGTACTCACTGCATTCGGACGCACGTTAACCTGCATTCAGACTGAAGAGCCCCTGCAACGATACACGCATCACGTGATCGCTGCATGATTTCATTCAAAGAGCGAAGGAGACACCGCGTGCATTTGTTTACGAGGACTCTCTCGTTTCCGCGAATGGACTGTACGTGTTTAACAGTCAACATTCCAGATATCACTGCACTACAGCACACATAGTCTTCTAATCACATGTTAAGTCTTCACAGGCTGACTTCTAATTCTTCTTCAACTACTAACTTCCCGTGGCTATCTCCTGCCGATAACTGAACTGAACTATCAAGTCAAAGTCAAAGTCACATTGCACCTGACGGTCGGTCGGTCAGTCAGTCAGTCAGTCAGTCAGTCAGTAAGTCTTGGTGTCGAGACCCATCTGTTTGACAGTTACGGTCTTGTTTTTGTGGGGCGCCCTCTCTGACGAGAAGATGAATGTGTCTTCTGTATATGCTTCTGACCCTTGCCAGTGCAGTCTTTCTCGGGTCCAAGTCTCTTGGGACTCGCAACCATATTTTACTGCCTCAGGTTTGAGACTTCCCTTTTCGTCGCCTCCTACGACTCGCAGGGTCACGGTAGAGGTACTCAACCCCGCCTCCACAAAGGAGACTGAACTATTCCTTCAAACTGTCTCTTATATAGCTGCGACACGGAACACGCAGCACAGAAAACACAGCTCTCCTATAGTTGTAGAGGTGTGTTGCCACGCGAGTGCCTGGCAGTCTCGGCGCGGACCGCAGAGAAAATACATCCATTCTTGTTTCATATTATTATAGCAGCTTGTTCACAGCTCCATTGCCTAGCAGTGGGTCGATACGTCACAATATCGACAACCACAACTGGAAGAAATTTATATTGATTTGGCAGCTTAGGCCGCGTAGCTGGCTGCTTTTCACTTCAGAAAAATTATGATAATAAAATGAACACAATAAATAAAACCCGAGTGCGTTAACATTATTCATCGAGTCATTCAATGAACTGTTGAGTCCTAGTGACTGTGGTGAAGAGAAGTAAATCGATTAACATCGGCATATTTCGAAGTTGCTGTCCTGAATACTAGCTAGCAAAATGCCGACGAAGACAACCGGAAACAGAGGCTAAACTTGAAGCGCTCGTACGAATCTTTTGTACCGACGAGACAGAAACTGTTTACGGGGGTGGGAGAATCGCAGGCAGGAGGCCCCAAGAGACATGCTGTATAGTCCGGTACAATTTGAAGGAAGTTTCGAAAGATATTGCTTCCATCTTCAGTGTCGAAGAATAAGAAAGCAACCAAGAAGAACCCTGCCCTGCTTGCCCCTTTCCTGGCTGTTTGAAAGGTTTATTCTCTAACACGGGAGACACTCTCCTCCGAAATGTAGATAAATTTCTACCAGACCCTGAGTCATATCATTCAATAAGACAGTAAACTTAATCTTAAAGCTGTGAATTCGGTCGGTCACAGCAAAAAGGCAATAAGGCAGTATTGTAGGCTACATGTTCTGAGGACCGAATTGGGACCCTATCCCTCGGCCATACACTTTGACTAAACACTGTAACGTACCCATTTCATGAGTCGCTCTCCTATCAGCGCAGGACTGGCCGGACCTTTATCTGCTCAAGTTAGCGACACAATGCAGCGCACGTCACGATGTAGTTGTTAAGTTCGTATTCAGGAGGTTCTCAGAATGAAATTCGACAGGACAGAGCGGTTTTGTGATTTTTCATCAGTTCTTCCAGGCAACCGTCGAGGTACTATACTGTTTCCTTCCGAATCCTTTCCAATTCATCAATCATCCTAACATTCGACGCTATAGTATACTGGATACTGACGACGTCGAAAATATCTGGTAAAATAAATACTGGAACTTTTCTTCCTGAACTAACTTCATGAGCAGTCTCTCTTTCATCGACTTCTCTAAGATACATATTAATATTTTCCTTCGCGACCTGTAACTGAACACTCAGCTGCAGCACTTTGCATGCAGCCAGTCCTAGCGACGCACACTGTGCAACACTGACGCAGAATGTCAGCAGTGTAGCGAGTCAGATTCTGCAACACGAGAATTTCTGGGGAGGTAGTACTCTGCATGCCAAATGCTCTGTTCCACTAGCTTAGGTTTTAGGTAAACTTGCATGGTTTCTGCACTTTTCCGTATGAAATAAGTAACTGAAACTTCTGAATCACAGGTGATATCATAATTGTTTTTTCTGATTCGTACTTTTTCCTCTTAGATATCAACAAAAAAGATCTGGAACATGTAAAGACAGATGTTTAGGATGAATGACTATAGCAGTGGTTCTCAACGTTTATGAGACCGCGGCCCAGTAAGTTCTTTTCTATAAGACGAGGGCACAGTCCCAACAAATTTATTCGTAAATACCTTTCCAGTTTTGTTAAAGTTCATGCATTAAGCTAACTATAAAATATTATTCATGAAAAATGCTTAGAAAATGAAAATGACAAGTTCCAGAAGAGCCTCTCGCGGCCCAGTATAATTGATGCCAGGGCCCACTACTGGGCCGCGGCCCGGCGGTTGAGAAGCACTGGACTATAGAACAAAATTGTTGTGAGACTATTAATTCAGAATTACTGGATTTCGGATAAGGAAACCCAGTAATTCTTAGTGTTATAAACCATCGTCAGAACCCTTTACAATCCATCAGGCTATTAGTTACTCAGACAGTCAAGAAAATCTACTGCTTCAATGAACCGAATGTTCATTAAAGTTTTCACAAAATCCCACGGCTGCTCCATATCCAGAGCCCGATAATGCAGTCCATAACTTCCCATCATTTTAATCTAGTATCTTCTTGCCGTCTTCAGTTCCCACAGCCATGCTCTCCCAGTGTCCATCTTCCACACCTCAGCCTTCCACTCAGTACCTATTGTCCAGTTAAATGGTCGTTTTCATTTTATTCTTTCTGGAGGTGACCAGTGCAGCACATTTCTCCGTGATTTTTCCTCCTTCATTCGCTCAACACGGCCATACAGTCTGCAGGTTCCTTATCACTGCTTAAGTGATATCCATTTCTTCCCATACGTTTCATTCCTCTTGTCCCCTTCCCCCGGAAATCTTCTAAAAATAATCGCATTCAACTGTCCTTGCTTTACTTCTTACTTTTCTACGAGTATTTAATGTTACCAGTATATATATGACTCGTCTTTCAAGTTCTCTTTTAACTTCAGTATTTCCAGACTAAATTTATTACGATTTCTCGTCTTCCCCGTGTGTATTGTATGCCTCGCAAATCTCGCCTTTCTTGATCTATTCGCCCTAACAATATGTTAGGGCAAACGGGAAAGAACACGAGGTGAAAATCTTGCACCTAGAACTATAAGGGAAGTTAGTAAAAACAACGCTTTAAAAATTCCCTGAAGGATTTACTCACGAACAA